GCTTGATGTAGCCCTGACCCAGCTGTACTCCCTGCAGACCCCTGGCAACAGCCACTGCCATGAATTAGAGCCTCTCAGCTCCAAACTACAAAACTTGATGTAACCAAACTGCCTCTGTGGACTGACCACATAGCAATAAACGCTCCTTCCAAAGTACTTCTGTGTGTCTGTCCTGTCTGTTTGCAGGTGATGGGACCTGCAGAGTTTCCCTAATACACAAGGTCTCCTGGAAAAGCAATAGCAGGGGTTGGAAAACAGGGTGCTGTGCATGGGAGGGGGTGCTCCTTGCCCTGTCAGGGTACCCACTGCCGGGTCTGGGAGACTTGCAATTCCTGGGTTCCTTTCCTGATACCATCCAAGTCCAGCTGGATAAACATGGGCACGTCAGCAGCTCCTGGCATCTTTCAGACACTGCAGAGGCCATGGGGCAGCTAGAGAGCCTGGAAAGGTTGGGCTGGTTTGGGCAGGGGGTAGATCAAATGTGGCAGACTAGTGCCCTTCTGTTGCAAGGCCACTGCAAGACCTCAGCCCCTCCTGTCCTACCTGCTGAGGGGCTCTGCTCCCCTGAGTGAGGGCACAGTGCAGGGGGGCTCTTTGCAATGCAAACAGCTCAGACTGGGGGTCTTGAGCCCTCAGTGCTTCCTGCCAGGACAGGAGGAGGCTCCAGCACCGCCCTCGCCACAACAACAAGCTTCTGGGGGTGTCATCGGGCCCTTGGGGGCTCTGCCATTCTGGCTGCCAGGGGCCAATTTCTCCCTGGCCTGGCATGCTGGGCTTGTCCTGTCTGGCTGCCAGCCTCTCCACTGCCTCCCTTCCCCTCAGGGCTCACCAGCCTTTCTGGCTGGGCTATCTCACTCAGCAGAGCTCAACTCCAGCTTCCCCTGCTGACTTCGCTGGTGTGAGAGATGGGGAGGTTTTTTCCCAGGCCCAGCTATTGGATAAAACATACCACCATCCCTAGTGCAGAGGAGAGGTCCCATGTCTTCCACCCAGGCATGAGACCAGCCCCGCCCCTCTTGCCAATGCTTCTGGCCCCATGAGTCATGAACCCAACCCTACAGTGGTCCCGGATGGGCTGCCCAGTTCCCGGACAGGGTGCTCCCTTCCCGGCAGAATCCAATGTGCAAGTCACATGTTGCAGCCTGGGGGACCCCACATTGCACTCCCAGGCCTCTCCTTGGCACTACTTTCACACTTGTGTCACTTTATTGCCACCCACAGAGCCAGTTCTGGTGTAGGCTAGCAATGGTGAACCAGACCAAGAAGCCCCCCAAGCTCAGGAGCTTGTCTGAGGCTGCAGCCAGCCCCATCTGCTTCAGAGAAGGGCATCAAGTGCAAAGTAGCAGCCTCCCCAAAATGGGTGGCAATCGAGGAGGGACCTACGTTCCCTGCCCCGGCCCCCAAAAGCAAGCATTTGGGCTCCTGCCCTGGAATGTGAGGGTTCATATTCCTCCTGGATTTGATTTCTAGCCTAGTACATGGGTCTGGGGCTGCCTTTCCACAGGCATCTTCTTGGTAAGGGAATGCCACTCAGGGACCCAAGAGCCCGTGGAGGGGCAGGCTGTACATCAGTAAGCTCATCGTGGCAGCCGGTGGGAGTCCCAGGCATGAGCAGACACCAGGGTGTCTGCACAAGCGGCTCAGACTGATGCAGGAGGAGCCTGCGGGAGGGTCTGCACTGGTGTGTCAGCCAGCGCAGGAAATTCCTACAGCTGTGAAGGTCCCATTTACTGTTAATTGGGAACTGAGAGCTCCTTAAAAGGGATACACTGGTCCAGGTCTGAACACGGTGGTTAAGGAACAAGTGGTGCTGTATTTGCCAGGGCTGGGCAGAGGCAGAGGTGAGGCAGAAGTATTGTTTGGTAGATGTGTGAATTGCAATTGTTATATTCACTAATAAAAGGCAATTTGCATTAGGCTTGTGCAGAGAATATATCAGTCTGTGATTGCTTCGGGTGACAGATCTTCAGGTCACAACACGCCTGTCCTCTTGAGCTTCCAGGAGATGAAGTCAGGAGAAAAGAAAGCATTTTGCAGAGGTAATTCATTTAACTGCAACCAAGCCCCACAGTCTTGTAGTACATATGCTGGAGGGTAGGGCGAGGATTCACCTAGATAAATTGCAGGATTGGGCCACAAGACATCTCATGAAGTTCAACAAGGACAAATGCCAAGTCCTACACTTAGGAGAGAACAATCCGATGCACTGGTACAGGCTGGGGGCTGACTGGCTGGGCAGCAGCTCTGCAGAAAAGGACCTGGGGGTGACAGTGGACAAGAAGATGGATATGAGCCAGCAGTGTGCCCTTCTTGCCATGAAGGCTAACGACATCCTGGGCTGCATTGGTAGGAGTGTTGCCAGTAGATCGAGGGAAGTGATTCTTCCCCTCTATTCAGCACTGGGGACGCCACATCTGGAGTCCTGTGTCCAGTTTTGGGCCCTCACTACAGAAAGGATGTGGACAAGTTGGAGAGAGTCCAGTGGAAGACAACAAAAATAGTTTGGGGGCTGGGGGACATGACCTCTGAGAAGAGGCTGAGGGAACTGGGCTAATTTAGTCTGCAGAAGAGAAGACTGAGAGGAGATTTGACAGCAGCCTTCAACTCCCTGCAGGGTGGTTGCAAAGAGGATGGAGCTGGACTCTTTTCAGTGGTGGCAGAAGACAGAACAAGAAGAAATTGGCTCAAATTGCAGCAAGGGAGATTTAGGTTGGATATTAGGAAAAACTTTCTCACTACAAGGGTAGTGAAGCACTGGAACAGGTTGCCCAGAGAGGTGATGGGATCTCCATCCTTGGAGGGTTTTAAGACCTGGCTAGAGAAAGCCTTGGCTGGAATGGTGTAGTTGGGGCTGGGGCTGCTTTGATCAGGGGGTTCGACTAGATGTGACCTCGTGAGGTCCCTTCCAGCCCTCATTTTCTATGATTCTAAGATTCATATTTCTAGTGCCATCTGTATCTGGGATCCCATCCCAAGGGAAACTGGGCAGACTGACCCTGCAGCTGTAAAGGGACAGGAGCAAGGATGGGAGATCACCCAAGGGTGGTCACAAGCAAGCTGCATCCCATGTGTGGAGCCCGGCAGCCTGTTCTGCTTGTTTTTAAACACCCATTTCACAAGCAGCACAAACCCTCCCCACCACAACATTGCACAAACACAGCACCAATTTGGGCCAGGAAGGAAGGTTGTCATGGTGAGGGGAAGATGGGGATGAGTTGCAAGACGTGGCCATGGGGAAAGATTGGCCAAGAGGGATTTTCCCAAGGAAAACCTCTGATGGCATGGTAAAAACAGGTCTCTGGTTTGTCCATCCAATATGCTACTGGGATATGCCACCTGTCTCCTGAACTTTCCTGGTTGGGATGGGTGTCCTGTGAATCAGAACCACCAGAGACTTCCAGTCAGGCCTCGTTGCCTTCCACTGGGCCAGAGAGTTGCAATAAACTTTAGCATCATCTGCCTTTGGCAAAGTCAATAGGAACAACACTAACGTTATAGGATGCCAGGATCCACATGGGACTTTGAGGGATCCCAGAGCAGAGACAGTCTGAATAGCTCACACTCAGGCTTGAGGGGGGCTCATACAGTCTTGGTGACAAGATCACCTTGCACTGGGGAGCAGAGCATGGCTCTGAGAGGCAGTGATGGCCTTTACCACCCCTGGATGCCAGCCTGCATCTGGCGTTTGGAGAATCGGGCCCTTGGAAAGGGGCAGGTGCTTGCAGCAGAAGAGATGGAGCCGGTGGGTCCGTGCCTGAACATGCAGCAAGGTGGCAGGATGAATGGCAGTAAGTGGGGTGGCGTTGTGTTGGCAGGTTCTGCTTTCCAAGCCCGGCCCAGGAACAAGGATGTAGGGTCAGGTAACCAACATCGCTGTCCCAGATGCAACACAAGACAAAGACACAATGGGATGAGTCAGGAGGCCCCAAATCCATGTGGTGCAACCGCTCCCTGGTGCTGGGATCAGTGCACAGTGGAACATCCTGAAACGGGATTGAGTTACACCTGGGCTGGTTTTGTTCCTGAGCTCTTCCTGGAACCTACAATGAACATTTATATCTTATTATAGCGTCTTCTTGGGCTTACTCACATAGGAGAGAAAACAACTGAGTCAACCAGCGTGAGGTTACCAAACATTCACCAATGAAAGTCTAAATCACTGATGAACTGGATGAGACATTTCTGTCTGCCTTAAATCTTTGTTTTCCTAATCCAAGTTGTAAGAACACAGATGAAACTCATGGCTCAATCGTGCATTCCCCTGAATCTGGGTGTAGCCATGCATAGGCCTGTGCAGCATGAGCTATGGGTCACAAAAAGCACTATAACTTGAATCAAACACATAATAATCAAAGCATAACCAAATTACAGGGAAAGTGTGGATATTGGGCCTGGCCATTTTCAGGAAACCTAAATCAAAACTGCAGAAATGACTGAACAGCAAACCAAGGGCCTGTATCCTACAGACTCTGTATTACAATTGCATTGTAAAACATTAATAACTAAGGCAACCAAATATATTAATAGCTTTTTTGCTGTATTTAATCTATTTTTGCTAACATGTTCAAATGATTATAGACACAAATGCAGCCTTGAGGATGGAAAGAGAGAAGCGACTGTGTCAGGCCACAGTTAGTAAATACCTGACCAAGGGCAAAAAAGGCAAGCCATAAAGAAGCAAGAAGTCTGTCCTTCTGCTATCTCAAAAATATACATTTCAAACGATTAACAAGATCTTGATTAAAGTAAATATTACCAGATGATTAACAAAAATAAGGAGCCTTAGCTGAGATGATCCCTTGCCCCCTTTCCCAGGGCCACTAGGTTCCATCCAGTTCCAGAAGTCTCAGTGAAACAAAGAAATTTAAATAAAACCAATCAGAGATCAATTGTTAACATGTCAAATCAACACCTATAAATATTGGACCTGGAGCAAGCAACAAATGAGACTTTTCTCGGAGCTCAGCA